GGAAGGATTCATGATTGCCATACAGGATCAGGTCATAAATACTAAAAACTACAGAAAACACATACTCAAAGATACAACACTCACTAATGACACATGCATAAAATGTCACAACATGCCAGAAACTATACAACACATCAATTCTGGTGCAAGCTCTTGGCATAGACACAGATTATTTACACAGACATAATCAAGTAGCAAATATAATACACCAAGAGCTTGCAAAGAAACACAAATTGGTAGACATCCACAAACCATACTACAAATACATTCCACAGACAGTATTGGAAAACAACACGCACAAACTGTACTACGACAGAGCCATAATCACAGATAAAACAATTTACCACAACAGACCAGACATCACACTCATTGGCAAACACAAGAAAATTACATACATTATAGACATAGCCATTCCAAACAGTCACAATGTACAAAACACACGCACTGAAAAAATTAGCAAGTACAAAGAACTCACCCAGGAAATAAGGCATCTGTGGAGGATGGAAATGGTGCTTATTGTACCTGTTGTTCTCTCCTGTACAGGTGTGATACCACACACAACACAAAAGCCTGGGAACATTACAATTGAATAGAAATGCATACATCACACTACAGGAGGCCACTATACTGAATACACGCGGCATTGTTAGGAAATTCCTGAATACAGACGCTGACACAGTTATTTAATTTTTGTGTTTGGTTGCAATGCTTTGACTCTGGTCCGGCATAGTACACAGCCACCGGTGTCAATTGAGTATAACCCACTAAACACAACAATAATAATAATAATAATAAATAATAGTTTACACAATCACATTGTACTGTGTGAACAACAGTTATAACTCCAGGCAAGTACCAAACTCAAACTTGCCCATCCAAATGGTAAAGTATGTAATGTGATTCATTACTCCATATGATTTTTTTAGGAAATTGGAGATAATGGTCATCTCAAACATGAAGAAAGCATTTTGTAAGTTACTTAAATTCTGTGCGCATAATATCCTGATATTATAATATTTAAAAAAAAAAAGAATTATAAGAGATTAATTCAGTGTCTTTATGTCGAGTCTACCCACAAAGCCAAAATTTCTTCTCTTGCTTTTAAATCTTTTTACATAATAACAGAATAGTTTTCTAATAAAAGATTTCTTAGAAAAGTAAAAAAAAAAAAATTTAAACTTATGATTCTGTCCAATTTTTTGAATTGATTCTATATATTTTGCAGACAGATTCAATTAAAAATAATTATTTGAAACAATATATATAAATAAAATAAAAAACATTAATGAAGTATTTTGATAATTCAAAATAAAGCTAGTTTTAAATTTTTGTAGTATGAAAATATTATCAATTATACACATTTGCTACTATTAAATAAAATTTTTACTGTTTCAAAATAACTTTATTTAATATTAAGAAGAAAGGAAAAATTAACTTTTATACTTTTATTAATGGATTTCTTTTTCTTCTTTCTTTCTTTTTTTTTTTTTTTTTTAGTTAGTTAAAAAGTTGTGAAAAGGAGATATACATTGTTAAAGAACATTTATTTTAATTTTATTATTATTATTGTTTAAACAGCTACTAAATTCTCTGAGTTGTAAATTTCTTTTGATATAATAGAAATAATTATATATATTATATGTTTACTAAAAATGGAATAAGTATATAAAAACATAAGGAATTATAGTTAATAAATTGATGCAAGAGAAGATTTATTGATTAACATTATAGAATGAAACAATTTAAATACAAAGTTCAAGATATTCATACATCTTGGAATTTTTACTTTTTTGGTGCACAATATTAAAAATATGCATTATATTTTATACAAATAATAAATGCAAATATCAGATGATGTGAATTAATTATGATAGTTAAAATCATTATTGACAAAAATTCTTAAGTAAATTTTTATAATTTCTATATATTCTTAAAATTTTTTGATTTTGGTTTATAAAATCTATAGCTACTGGTGCTTCTACTACAGTATATGCAGTTAAAGATTTTGGTGATCCAAATAATGATGATGCTGTTGAAAAAGAAGAACAGTTCTTAATAAAATGGAAAGAATGGTCACATTTACATAATACTTGGGAGTCTGAAAATACTCTTAGGGAACAGAAAGTTAAAGGTTTAAAAAAATTAGAAAATTATTTAAAAAGAGAAGACGAAATTAAATTTTGGTAAGTTTTTCATTTGTGCATTTTATATATGCATATTGTATATTAAAATATAACTATTTTAAACATAACTATATTATTATGGTTGCAATTATAAACTTTTAGTAAATGTAATGTATAATTTTTATTTCTTAATGTAATAAATAACAGGAAAATTATTATATATTTTTGATTTATAATTGCATTGTTTTAGAAATACTGATATCTGTTGTTTGGTGTATGATGTAAAATTCATATTGTAGTATTCAGTTATCAATTTAGATAAAACTTACATTTATGAAATGCTACAATAGCTGTAATTATAGAAGAATGAATAGTTTCTAGTATATATAGTATATCAATTATCATCATCATTAGAGTAATTGAATTTTTTTCATTATATTAAACTTTTTTTAAGTTGGTTATTGCTGAAAAAAATAATTGGAATTTTTTATGATTGGATTACATTTGAAATAAATCATAAAATAATTTATTATATTTTTAAATAACTATTCTTTGCAATAATTAAATTTGAAAAATGAATATTTATTAGAATTTTTTTTATCATCAACTTTATTCACCTCAAAACTAATATAAAATGACTTAATGAGTTATTTTATATTAGATGTTTAGAATTCATATCAACATGCAAAAGCTTATGTAGAAAATAATCATTTTTATGTTCTCTGTTAATTATTTATAACAATTCTTAATGTAAATTAAAATTTTGTTGAACATTGGGTGTTGTGTGATGTTATGTAAGAATATTATATTATTAATTTACTGTCTGATTCACATGAAAATCTAAATAATTTCATTCTCTTAATCTATATGAGGTTTTTATGGAAATACAAAGATGATATTAATGTTAAAATTGAATTTATATTTGTTTAAAATTCATATAGACTAGTTTAAAACTTAGGACAAACTGTAAATACTTTTAAATTTTATATAATAATTCAAAGAAGTAATAAGTTTTCACATGTTATATGAAATACTTCAAATGACATAAAGTAAATGTTTATTATTTGCATAAGATAGAGCTAAATTTTAAGATATTTAAATAAAATTATGTGACTAGATACAAAAGATTTTGATAATTTTACATTTCCTTTCATTATTATTTTTACTTGACAAAAAATTATTTTTTCAAGTTTAATTTCAAAGCAAGAAAAATAATAATAATACAGTAGAGTCTCAAAAACTCGGCCTAATGTGGACCAAAGGGTGGCCGAGTTTGTGAAAATGCCGGGTTATCGGGAATGGGGTTAAAAAAATAAGTATGAATGTTTCCTCAGAAAATACTGTACTGTACTTGTATGTATTGTTTACTTGAGAATACAACAGAGAATAAACTGCCCAAATACCCTTAAACAAAGGAAAAGTACATCCTTTATGAAGGCATAGAGCCTTTACTACATGAAAATGAAAATTAATGAATACACTGTGTACAGTAATTTACCTGATAAGACAGACCTCAGAAAAATACTTTATGAGGCATAAAGCTGTCTATAATGAAATTAATTAACTAAGGATTTTTTTGCCTTGCCAGGGTGTGGCCGAGTTATTTGGACTGCCGGGTTATCGAGTGCCGAGTTTTTGAGACTACTGTAATAATAAATTCTTTATTCATATTAAGGAATCCTTGTTACAGGGGGTAATGATTAAGGTATAAGTAATACAATCATAAGTAAATATAATTAATTTGATTATTTATATAAGAAATAAAAATTAATTAATTGAACATCTAGTTATTTTCTATATTGAGCATTCAAATCATTAATAATTTGGTTAAAGAAATTAACAATTTTATACATATTTATTTTCGTTAAATTGCCCAATTTAAATCTATAATCAAATTCATTATTTGAAAAAAATATTCTTAGAGTTTGAAGTTTTTGATGATATTTTTCAACGCAGTACAGTCTCTAATTAAATGAAATGCAGAAAAGTTGTTGGAATTACACCAATAACATGATTTAGTCTCAATTGTAGTAAGATACGTTTAATATTTAAAGTTGTATTCATTGTAATAATGTTTGATTGAGTGGGAAAACTTAAGATATGCAAGTACCAAGGATGATATGTTGAGTTAAGTAAAGCGTTTTGATCGCTAATTATCGAATGCGAAATCGCTGACTCCATTATCATAGTGTAGGCATTTTTCCAATTGTCAAACGAGTTGTCAAATAAGGTAGTAGATACACTCAATGATTGTAATACTTTATTGAATTTGTAGATCCAAGTTGTTTTATTGATACTCTCATTTTCCATTTGATTTTTCATTATATGAAGTAAAAACATTATATTATCATCGTTTGAATGTATTAAATGGTAATAAAATCTTATAATCTTTTCATAAAGAAGGGGAAAAGTTGACATCTGTTTGTTTCTGAGCGTATAGCATAGCCAGGTATAGTACGTTCGAGTTTAAATAGTTTAATAGAATAGTCGACATTATTATTGAATTAAACATTCTCATATGAAGATTTAAATTTGAAGTTTTTAAACTAGCACCTAGATAGAGAGTATTATTTATTAATTGATTCATTTTCTTTATTAAGGTATTTCATATGCATTTGGAATTTCCCATTCCAATTGAAAGTTATACCTAAGTATTTTATATTATTGCCCAATTCTAACGGTTGATCATTTATATAAAAGGATTTCTCTTGATTTTCCAGTTTAATATTGTTTCTGAAAATTATTATTTTTGATTTATCAATATTGATCGCTAAATAAATTGATTTCAGATAGTCGTTAATTTTATTAAGCTTATGTTGTAAGGTAACTTTTGTTGGGGCCAATAAAACCAAATCATCGACGTATAGAATGTAGTGAAATGTTCTTCCATATATATAAATGCCTTCTGAATCATTTAAGAATAGCCTATCTATTTCATTAATATAAAAGTTAAATAGATAGGGAGACAATGGCTCACCTTGTAAAATTCCTCAATTTATAGTAATTTCAGGGTATCGCTGATTTCCATATACAATGTTGATTTTATATGAGGAAAAAAGATACTTAATTGTAGTTGCAAATTTGGTCCCTGCCCCAAATATTTTTAATTTGTTAACCAAAGAGGGTACGTTTATAGAATCAAAGGCTTTAGTAATATCGATGAACAAAGCAAGAAAAATAATTATTGAAATTATTCAGCTATTATGTATATATTTGAATAAAATGTTTATTTTAATAAATAGTTTGATATCAAAATATTTTCAATATTTGACAGGAAAGAAACAGCAACTCCAGAAGACATTGAATATTTTGAATGTCAACAAGAAATGGCAGTTGAATTGAGGCAGCAACATATGAGAGTTGAACGAATTATTGGTGAGAAATAGTCATTTATTATTATTTTGCACATTATTTTGATTTTATACACAGGGTTCCTACGCATCTGGAAAGTCAGGAAAAATCAGAGATATTCATTGTTAGGAAAAAGTCATGAAAGTCAGGGAATTTACATTTTTTGCTGCCTTGTTGAGTTTTTTTCTGATAATATGCTTGACCAAGTATTGTCAATCTGCAAGCAGCAAGAAGTAATGTGTGCAATTCTGTGCCACATTACTTCTTGCTGTGCAGAATATTTTCAGGATCCAAATTTTCTCCAAAACTTTAAAAAGTACAAAAATGATAAATAATAACATTTAAATTAAAATTATTTTTTATTTTTTATTTTAATTATTTTGATTGCATAACAAAAGAATTTTTTTTTATTTTTAATGAGTTATTTTATATTAGATGTTTAGAATTCATATCAACATGCAAAAGCTTATGTAGAAAATAATCATTTTTATGTTCTCTGTTAATTATTTATAACAATTCTTAATGTAAATTAAAATTTTGTTGAACATTGGGTGTTGTGTGATGTTATGTAAGAATATTATATTATTAATTTACTGTCTGATTCACATGAAAATCTAAATAATTTCATTCTCTTAATCTATATGAGGTTTTTATGGAAATACAAAGATGATATTAATGTTAAAATTGAATTTATATTTGTTTAAAATTCATATAGACTAGTTTAAAACTTAGGACAAACTGTAAATACTTTTAAATTTTATATAATAATTCAAAGAAGTAATAAGTTTTCACATGTTATATGAAATACTTCAAATGACATAAAGTAAATGTTTATTATTTGCATAAGATAGAGCTAAATTTTAAGATATTTAAATAAAATTATGTGACTAGATACAAAAGATTTTGATAATTTTACATTTCCTTTCATTATTATTTTTACTTGACAAAAAATTATTTTTTCAAGTTTAATTTCAAAGCAAGAAAAATAATAATAATACAGTAGAGTCTCAAAAACTCGGCCTAATGTGGACCAAAGGGTGGCCGAGTTTGTGAAAATGCCGGGTTATCGGGAATGGGGTTAAAAAAATAAGTATGAATGTTTCCTCAGAAAATACTGTACTGTACTTGTATGTATTGTTTACTTGAGAATACAACAGAGAATAAACTGCCCAAATACCCTTAAACAAAGGAAAAGTNAAAATAATATATTATGTATCACAAACTAATAGTATTAAAAAATTATTAGGTAAAATATGTTCCTTGCAGCAATCACAACTTTATTATACATTTTTTCTTTTAGGTTTTTTTTCTTTAATTTAAAGTTACAATATGTAAAATTAACAATACGAGTACTCACTAAATTTCTTAAATAATGAGTACAATCTAGAGATATGACATGTCACGGGGTACGCTAATGAAAAAAGGTTGGGAACCACTGCTGTAAGGGATGTGAGGATTAGGGAATTTGTACAAAGTTTGTCAGAGAAAGTCATGGAATGGAAAACAAAAATTTGAATAGAAATCCTGTATACACATTTTTAGTGGTAGAAAAATGTCAATATTTATAGAAAATTTTGAAATTAAAAAATTATTTCATTACAATCAAAGAATAATTAGATAAATTATCATCATTAATAACATTCAGCTGAAAACCTAATTTTAACAGAAATGATGGTAAGAACATTCTATGAAAAATTGATCTGTTATTTATTAAAAACATATTACTTAGAAATATCTTTAATAAAAATGACTAAAATTTGTAGATAATTAAAATAAATCAATTTAAATAAAATTAAATTTATTGTTTATACAGCTTTATTCACATTAATGTTGAGAATTTTAATCTTGTCACTATATAGTATTATTGGAATTCTTGTAAATGATGCTAATTTATTCAGTAGTTATTTGTTGAATATTTTAAGGGAAAATCCTATAGTTTTTTTAATATTATTATGATTATATAATTAATAATTAAAAGTACTGATGTAAAAAAAAAAAAACAATTTTTCAAGGAGTCCAACAGGTCATTTTTTACTAACAAATTAACATTTATGAATAAAATGTTTTTCTGGAGGTATTAGAGTCCTAACGTTTAATTCATGAATAAAAATAATCTATTGAACTCATTGGAAATTTTATTTTTAGCATCAGTGCTTTTAGTTTATATTATGGCGTCAAATGCTGTGAAGAATAATTAACAATTATTTAGCTTTTGAAATGAATAGCTTTTATATGTACTGTAAGTGCTCTTATAGGATTTAGTGGAAATGAATTATGTATTTAAAGAAGTATTTCATTTTAGAACATAAATATAGTTGCATGACAGTTATATACAGTAGAGCGTCGTTTATCCGAATCATTTGGGGACTGGGGTTGTTCGGATAACTGATTATGTACAAAAAAATATATTAGCCTATCCCATGTTGAAATTTTTCTCCGTTGCTGATGCATTCTTAAGTACACTCTCGTGGTTGCGCCAGTACTTCCACCTAAAACACACAAACCAACAAAAATATTGGAGTAGCCCAAGATATAGCCAAAGATTGCAGCGCCACAGCACTAGCGAAAATTTAAATTTGCTGACTGAAATTCTTTCGGATAAACGACGCTCTACTGTATTTAGTACTTAACTATTTTTTAATTAAAGATAAATACTAGTTTCTATTGTTTTTTTAGCACATGCACCATCAAAGAATGGAGATGTGAATAGTACAGATTACTTCTGCAAATGGGAAGGATTACCATATTCTGAATGTACTTGGGAAGATGGTAACTTAATTTGCCAAAAATTTCAATCAAAAATTGATGAATATAATAATCGACAAAAATCACAAAAAATACCAAGCAAAGTTTGTAAGGTAAGATTGAATTTAAATCATATCGAGCATTTTGTTGATAAAGTTTTGAAAATATTTTGTAAGATTTTAGTAGTGCATAATTAGAAAGCTTTTTAACTTTTGTTTTATTAAACTTATTTTTCTGATATTTTATATAAAAGAATTAATTTCAGAATTTATAATTTTAAATTATTATGCATTAAACCAGATTTTTATAGATACAGTTTTTTTTAATTAGTTAATAGTGCCAAAAAGCAAACGTTAAAAATATAAATTTCACAAATAAATTTATATATTAACTTGTAAATTTATACTATAAATTTAAATGAATAAATAATTATTTAAATTTATCTTGATTAAAATAATATAATTTGTTTTATTTTATATTTGATGATAAAAATAATGTGTTAATGGTAGGTTTTAAAAGCCCGTCCAAAGTTTACTCCATTAAAACAACAGTTAAAGTACATGGGAAATTCTGATGATTTACAGCTCAGGGATTATCAATTGGAAGGTTTGAATTGGCTTGTTCATTCATGGTGCAAGTAAGTATATCATTTTTGTTGAAGAGAAACATAATGGCAGTAAAGTTAACACAAACAAGTATTTTTACTCAGAATTGCACAAAATTTTGAAAATTTAATATATTACAGTACCTGTGAATTGTAACAAAAACTTTCAAAACTATAAGAAGAAAGTTGTTTTATCATTATAAGTAAACATTCTAAATATTAAAAATAATTTTATATAACATTTTTTAATTAAAATATAATTTTGTTTAAATTTTAAATTGTTTTTCCAACACTTAAATATTTTTGCTGACTGCTGGCCTTGATTTGAAACTAGATAGCTGATATTTCAAACAATGTTAACTTGCTTATACTTAAAATATTTAATTTTTGTTTCATAAAGTTGCCTTCTTTTTAATGAAATTATTAAAACATTAAAATAAATTTAAATTTGATTTTGTTTTGTGCGAAAAACACAAACAATTTCTATAGTTATATTGCAAAAGAAAAAAAGAGTTTCAATTAATTTTAAAAATTGTAATTAAATATTCAAAAAATGCAGGCAAAAGTAAATAAATAAAAATTATTGAAAATAATAATAATTAAAACTCTGGCCTTTACACTGTATCTGCAACTAAAAATAAATTCAAATTAATTGAGAACTAAAACAATGTTTTTAAAAATCATTTAAAAATAGTTTTGAAATTTTTAAATTTGCATTCTGTGTGTTCAGCAGTAACAGAGCATTTTGCTTTTAATATATATGAAGTGTGCAATGCCATGTCTTTTTTTTTCTAAATGCATTTTATTGGAGAAATTAATTCTAAATGCAATGTTTTCTGCTGCAAAAAATATTGTGGCAATAGTGGCTTTGTAAGTGGCTGTATTTTGAAGTTGAATTTAATTGCAAGCCATATGGCATTGCACACTTCATATACGGAATACAGATTGCCAGTTAAATCAGTCCAATGGCGGCCTGGTGGCAACCCTAAAGTCACCCTATCTCCCTTAAAATAGGGACAGTTAGTACCAACTGAGTACAGTCTCTCACTGTCTACCATAACAGATGTCACCTCATGTATGGGCATTGTGTAATCTCTCCTTTGTCGACATGAAAATTTCCAATAAACTAATCCAGTAGAGCGTCGATTATCCGAATCAATTGGGGACTGGGGTTGTTCGGAAAATTGATATTTCGGATAACCGATTATGTACGAAAAAATATATTAACCTATCCCATGTTGAAATTTTTTTCCGTTGCGTGTTACTTCACATTGAATTTTCGTCGATGCTAAGCCTAACGAAGACTATTGTATCGTTAAAAATTATTTTTTTATTTTGTACAAACAAAATAAATATATTGAAAAATATAAAAACAATAAAAAATTATACTTCAGAAGTTAATTTAGTATCAAAAATGTAAAATATTTGAGTAGCCCAAGACATGGCCAAAGATTGCAGCACCACAGCACTGGCAAAAATTTAAATTTGTCGACTGGAATTCTTTCGGATAATCGACGCTCTACTGTATTTAATTGTTAATATCATAATTTGAAAAAATTTTTATCTTTGACTGAAATAAAAATTAATTTTCTTATAAATGTGGAAGAATTATTTTTAAGAATCTGAAATTGTAACGAGATATTTCTAATTCCGATTAATTGTCCCATCACTAATATATATATTGAAATTAAATTTTAATTTTTTCTTTAAATTTAATTAAAATTGACATAAATGATTTATTTACAATTATTAATTCTTTGTCTTATTATTTATATAGGGAAAATAGTGTTATTCTTGCTGATGAAATGGGATTAGGAAAAACTATACAGACAATATGCTTTTTGTCATACTTATTTCATCAGTATAGTTTGTTTGGACCATTTCTACTAGTAGTTCCATTGTCAACTATGGCTTCTTGGCAACGTGAATTTAGTCAGTGGGCTCCTGAAATGAATGTTGTTGTGTATCTTGGTGATGTTGGCAGTAGGAATTTGGTAATATATTCATTTTATAATTAAAACATATTATGTAAAATCTTAAGGATTGTGTTTTTATTAATAAATTTTTCAATATGTTACTAGAAGGTTGCTTATATTGTACTACTTGTTTTTTAATTAGTGGAAATATACAAGGGCTATTTTTTAAATAAGGTCTGTTTTTTAATAAGAAGAAAAATACTGTAAATATCATTAAAATAGATTTTTTCCCTTATTCTACATACTTTTATCTACTTTTCTACATAATTTCCATTTTGGTTCAAACATTTGTCATACTGCTCAAAAATTTTTTAAATTTTGACTTCAAAGAAATCTGCCATCAGAAGACATTAGGCCACGGTGCTTGTCTTGTATGGCATGGCAGAGTTTTCTCAAGATAACAATAAGCATCAGAATTGAATGTTGTGTTGTGCCTCTTGACATAAAATCCACTAAGAAAGTCCCTTTCCTGTTCCCTTTCCCCAAAAGACAGTTACCATGATCTTTCGTGCTGAAATCGAATAACAGATCGTATCTTACAGTCGGCAGGCGACTCAATTTTCTTAAACATTATAAACTTCTACAGTTTAGCACATAGACAGACAATACGGCTGCATATGGCATCTAAACATGCACAAAGCATGCTGAAAGCAGATGCTCATGCACACTGCTGCAATCGCGCGTCATTCTCACTCTCATTCATAAATGGACCTTATTTTAAAAAATAGCCTTCGTATATATAATTTAACTATTAAAGTTTATCATATTGTTCTTTATCTATCATGATTACTCAGTGTTCTAGTAACAGGCAATCAAAAATTAATATTTTAAATTTCACTAGTTAAACTAGTGAAATTTTTGGCAGCTAGTTTAATTAATAAACTTTATTTATTGTAAATAAAATAATACAGTTAATTCTTGATGTAGTGATCATTCAATATAGTGAATGATTTAGCTTAGTTCCATGAAAGTTTATGGTAATTTAACAAAATGCTTATTTTACTAAATATTTTTTATAAAAGATTAATTATAATTTGTTATTAAGTGTGTTTGTGTACACACAGTAGAACTTAGTTAAGAACTTTTTCAAGGGATCAATTTAAGAAAATTTCTTAGGCAGAAATGAAAATATAGCTTTTTTCAATACTTCTATATTTATGTTGCAATGTTCTGCTACATTACAGCTATTTAGGCTTATTTATTAATTAATTATCTATTTATACACTTTATTTATTTAAATATTGTGTAATTTAGCCTGCTTTATCTGTTTTATTATGTAAAAATATGTTTATGATTTCCACAAATAAAACTACAGATCTACAAATATTATATAAAATTTGTTGAAGAGTGGGCATATTCTGCAAACAGCAATGCTGCAGCATTGAGTGAAGTTGCTGGTTAAACAAGTCTTTAGTATAGCACATTTTTTGTTATGTCTGTCATGCTTAAAAATGAGTGAAAACATGAATTTAAATTTAAAGTTTGACAAATAAATCATCAATATAATTCTGTGTTTGGAAGAACAGAAGAGAATTATACATACAGAAATATACAACATATAATCAACACTCATTGGATATCTGAGTTCTAAATCACTACTACATCATCTGCTGGTTAAGGAACTGAACACATTTAGCCAACTTTACAGCACTGCATTATAGCTCTGAGCTAAAGTGCTGCATATGTTTTGTTTGTTGAATACCAGTATTACCCACAAATTGATTGGCAAGCACCAAATCCAACAGAGCACTGTTTTTGAGCCAAGATGGCTGCTGAAACAGGTAAGGAACTGACCACGTGTTTGTTCAGTATCTGAGCAGATTCAGTTTCTATCGGTGACGACTACTGCGAGGACCAAATGGAGAATGATTTGTTCTACATTTGGTCCTCGCAGTAGTCGTCACCGATTGAACTTGTGTCAAATTTTAGACTATATCGGTGACAGGAAACGTTGTCTTGTAGAAGGTGAAGCCGTTTTGGATATATGAGACGTACACACACACACACACACACACACACACAAAATAATGTGTGCTACAAACTTTTGACTGACCTATGTTGTATAAGTGCTGAATGACTCAGCAAGGCAGCCTTCAGATTGGCACTAATTTTAACTATTATGATAAATAAAACTTTGTTTTTATATTGGAACATTGTGTATACTGCTTAAAATATTTAAATACTTCTCACCTGTTAACGTGTAATAAACATGCTATCACATGTTTACAAAAACCATACAGCCCCGCTTCGCACGTGCATTCTCCCTGTAATTGAGATGTATTAAAATGACAATATCTGAGATTGCAACACTAAAGCAACAAACATGAACTTCGGTGTTGTTGTTAGAGTTTAATCCACAAAATACGACGTGTCCGCATCCAAAACAGCTTCACCTTCTACAAGACAATGTTTCCTGTTGCCGATATAGTCTAGAATTTGACATAAATTCAATGATTTGTTCTCCATTTGGTCCTCGCAGTAGTCGTCACTGATAGAAACTGAATCAGCTCAGGCACTGAACAACCACGTGGTCAGTTCCTTACCTGTTTCGACAGCCATCTTGGCTCAAAAACAGTGCCCTCTGTCAGATTTGGCATTTGCCAATAGAGCTTTTCAAAATTTGCTGTTTGTTGTAAGCATTATTGCCAGATAACCATGTAATAAAATTATAAAATCTGTGTTCAAAATAGTGAAAAGTTGCACAACAAATTTTGTGATTTTTTAAATGTAATTTTTTTCTTTTCTCTACACAATAAGTATAACAAAATTTTCAATAGGATGAGTTGAGAATCTCAAGAGTCCATTTTCTAATGCAGGACAAGAATTTCAGTGAACTTGTGGGAAAACTTTCTGAAATGAGAATATTTGTTATGGGAAAAATCTGCATATTTCTTGTGGAGAAAAAATCAAGACTTTTGAAATTAAACTTTTTACATGGGAAAGTATTCTAATGCAGGAACTTCTTAACAGAGTTGTTAACACATTGTTAATTGTTTTCGACATGACTTACAATTAAGAAATTTAAATATTTCATTATTATTAAATTATACTGATTTGAAATTTAAGTTTAAATAAATAACAAAAACAAATAATAAAAATTTAATTAATTTTTCTTATTTAAAATTTGATAATTTATTTATTATTTGATGATATTGGCTGATATGAATTGTTAAAAATTGACCTAATAAAAAATAAATGTTGATATATAACATTTATTATGCATATTATTCAAGCTGTATTTGTGAATTGGCATTATTTTTGAAATCTTAATAATGTTTGGAATTTTTATAAAAATTTAGATGAATTTTAATTATATCATATTACTAGCTTTGTTTCAGTTTGAATACAATGGTGTAAATTTGGAACAGCTTAATTTTAAAGTATTGTAAAATAATTTAGACATTAATACCACTTAAATTTACAAATGATATATAAATGTTTAATTAATCTTATAATTCTTTACTTTTTATTAGATTAGACAGTATGAATGGTGTCATCCTGGAAATAAAAGATTGAAGTTTAATGTATTAATTACAACATATGAAATATTATTAAAAGATAAAGTATGTAGTTTTGTTTTATTATAAATTTCTTCTAATTACAAAAAAGTTTTTGTTGAAATAAATTTTTAAAGTGCCTTGTTGTTAATTAATGAAGGATGTGAGAATTGATATATTTTTTAGAATATTAAATTCAAGATAAAATGTATATGTTTAAATAAACAAAATTATAGATTTGAAGATAGCATTTATAAAAGCTGTGAATTTTTAAAATACAGTAGAACCTCCATTATCCGGACCTCCATTATCCGGATTTTCGATTATCCGGATTGTTCAAAATAAACAAAAATTTTACGAATTTGCTGATTTGCACTTGGCGAATTACGACACTGTTTATGTAC